AAGGGAGGACAGAGTGTCAGTAGAGGTGAAACTGTATCAGTCAAACCTTGACAACTGTTAACCCTGTATGATGGGTATACTGGGTTTATTATACTATTCTCTCAAACGTTAGCTATGTTTGAAGATATTCGTAATAAAGAATGAAGACCTTAGAAATCATCGTACCTCTTTCTAACCTTTCTTTCAATCTGGTCCTTCTCCTTGCTCACTATCAGTAGGTAACATTTTTTGTTCTATAAGCTGAGAATGGCTATGGGAGACTTTTTGAGAAGGGAATCTATAACATCATTTATTTTTAAGTTCTTTCTAGCTGTGCATTTATGGAAATTATGATTGAAGCGCTTGGGGAAGGTTATTATGATGATGGTGATACGCAGGGTGAACTGGAGTACAAAGAGATAGAAAGACTCACCCAGTTGGGACAATTACCACTAAAGTGGAGCTTGAATAAAGGAATTTTTTACCTATGCAAACTCTCTAAAGAGATTCCTGTAAATGGGTCTTATAAATCTTCTGTAGTCTAGTCTCATTATCACCTTTGCCCCTCTCTTACTGAATGAACCCTGTAACCCATCTGTACATTTATTAATTCCTTGATATATTATGCCTGAAATTCCACACTCAAGGCTGGAGGCCCTAGAAAAGGTGAAAGTTCTCTGTCCTCACCTGGTCTGCAGATAAAGAGATATAGACATTGAGTCTGCTTAAACAGAGCCAAGGTCCAGGTCACCTCTAAGAGATCAAAGTGGGTCTGAAATTCTGACCTCCTTCAAGGCTTCTCCTGTTCTAGGGTGACCATATGTCCCAGTTTGCCCATGACAGTCTGTGGTCGTTGTTAAGAGCATCACCAATCACTATCCAAAGTGTCCCCATTTTAATGAGAAATTATCTGGCCACCCTTTCAGGGTCCAAAGTTAATCTAAGAGGCAAAGACTCAGCCTTACAAGTAGCTCCTTCATGGGAATCCTAGAGCAGATCTAAGACCCTAGCAAGTTCTGGTCTGAGGCAGACCCCAGTGGAGGCCACCGTAAAATTGTCCTTCTAAAAACCTCCAAGGAGACGAAGAATACCTTAGAGTATTTCCACTTCTACCAAAGGAGGTCAGTGTACGAGTGAGGGGGGCATGGAGAGTGAGAGGATGATACAGAGGGATGAAAATGCAGCAAGACAACAAAGGTCTAAGGACAGAAAGACGTGGGGCTAAACTTCAGCAGGTGTGAAGACCTGCGGGCCCACTCAGTGAACGTCAGGAAGATAGCTGACCAAGAGTTTTGATACTTCCAAGTCTGATATGCACGGGTTCATGTACCAGTGAGACTATATTAGTTTTTTTTTAATTTTATTTTATATTGGAGTAGAGCTGATTTACAATGTTGTGTTAGTTTCAGGTGTACAGCAAGGTGATTCAGGTATACATATGTGTTTCTTCTTTTTCAAATTCTTTTCCCATTTAGGTTATTACAGAATACTGAGCAGACTTCCCCATATTATATAGCAGGTGCTTGTTGGTTATCTATTTTACATATAGCAGCGTGTACATGTCAATCCCAAACTCCCAATCTATCCCTCCCCCCACACCCTTACCCATGGTAACCAGAAGTTCATTCTCTGTATGTTTCTGTTTTGTAAATAAATTCATTTGTATCATTTTTTTTAGATTCTACGTATGATATTTGTCTTTCTCTGTCTGACTTACTTCACTTAGTGTGACCATCTCCAGGTCCAACCATGTTGCTGCAAATAGCTTTATTTCAGTCTTTTTAATGGCTGAGTAATATTCCATTATATATACGTAACACTTCTTTATCCATTCATCTGTCGATGGACGTGTAGGTGGCTCCCATGTCTTGGCTCTTGTTGAAATACTTTCATAATGGCTGATAACTAGCTGTAGAAGCAAGAAATCTGGACATTCCATGCTGGCTGCCCATGCCTTCTCAGACGGCTGGACCTTCCCACAATCGAACACCTGGAGGTTTAACATCTGGTCTAGTTGGGGACCACCAGGAACCTGGTGGCCTGGGGACCACAGAACCACCCCCCGGCTCTGTCCCCATCAGTGCCCACGCCATGCCAGTGATGGCTGTTGTTAATTTCACCCCTGGATATTTCCACAGCAGTTTAGGGTGGAGGCCTGGAAGGATTCAGAATATGAAAGAGAAAAATAAGCTGCAGAGACACAGAAGACTCTGAACCCGCAAAACTGCATGTCAGGTTCCCGACGTGCTGCCTCTCAAGAGCACGCTGCCTGTCGGGCTTGGCACACGTCACTTCCATCAGTCAGTGACCCCCGAGGCTGAGGCCCTTCTCTCTTCATTATCCAATGGCACCAGCCCTAGATCTTTCTCTGATTACCACCCGGGATTTGAGGAAAGGCTATTGCCTCTGCCATCGCATTCATCACTACAATTTCTTCCCGTGTGTTAGATCTGTTTCCAGAAGGAGTTGTCAATGAAGCACTCATGGCACCAGATTTGGAGGCTGGCATTGTAAATTATAGTAATTTTTCTGCCAACTGTGTATTGGCATCATGAGGATGATATAATAAACAAATATTTTACAACTAAAATGTTTGTGACCGGGGCTCAGGGGCACATTGATATTCCTGAGAGGGTAATAAAAAGGATGGCTCTGGCAACCGTCATCTGTGAGGCTGGAAGGCGAAGCTTTTGTGAAGAGCGATTTTGCTTTACCACCTAGAACCCTCTAATGAGGTTGGCTTGGGTGTCTGTTTCCACTGACCTCTAGGTGCCTCTGAGTGAAACAGCCGTGCTCAAGGGTTCAGGCTCCAGAGATGCTACAGCTTGCTGTGTGACCTTAGGTAAGTCACTTCCCTCTCTGGGCCTTGGCTTTCTCCCCTGGAAAGACCAAAGATTGCTCTTTCTTTCCTGAGGGAACCCCTGCTTAACGTAATACCTGGAGTTGTGAGAACTCTACTTAGTTTCTTTGTCTAATACCCTGAGTATTTCAGGGAAGCACAGGCAGGATAAAAGCCAATCGTTTCCATCACAAAAGAAGCCAATCCCTGAAGTGAAAATGACCTACCCCTGGAGTGGGTACCTCTCCCTTCACCAAAGTTCACCTCTCCCCATCCAGGAGCCTTGGGTCCTTGGATCCCTGAGATCAGAGCTCTGCCTGTTCGTTAGTGTGTAGAGAGAAATCTGTTCTAAGTGGGCTTCCAGAAACCATGCTTTTACTGGAAGAGCAGCAGAAAGCATGACAGACCGGGCCATCAATTCACCCCTCGAGCTGGCACGATCCTTGAGTAATAGTCAATCTTTCCTACATACTCCAAAAATATTTATTTCCTATGAAGCTTCCAACGTATTTTACTACTGATCCTCATGCCCTAGGAGCGCTGCTCCACACTTTTTACTTTTCTTGCCGGTTACTGAGGCAGAAAGCACCGGGGAAGAGGATTTAAACGTCTGAATAATAAAAAATATTCTTAAAAAAGAAAAGAAAAGGAAAATCTCATCCCCGTTGCTTGCCCTGTTTTACTTTTTCTCAGTGGCTTCTTCCCGTGCCAACTCCCTCTTAAATATACTAGATTCATGTCCTCCAAGCTCAGATCTTCACTCTTTGCTGTCACCTCCACTTCTTCCTGCCATCTCAGGCTAGCTCTTGGAGTTTTAGAGACATTCCTCCCCTTTTTCATTTAATGGATGAGGAAATCCGTGATGCCAGGGGATGGAATGGTTGCTCACAATTAACAGGGGCTAAGTTCAGGCCAAGTCCCTTGTCAATGTGGACAAAACTTCACCCTCCTCTTGAGAACCGCACACGGAGAAACAGTTTGCTAGATGAAATGAGTTTTATAAGCAATGGCCCAAAGACACTGGACTGTCTCCTAAAAACAAAAAAGTGAAAGATGAAAAGCAATGCCAGTAAAGATAGAAACTCTGCCCAGGACACTGGCTGTGCGCACCTGAGGACTGTTACTTAACATCCTTCAGATGTGTCGCTGTTTGGACAACAGTGACCCCTGTGAGCTACTATTTGAGGAATGCCAGGCATTCTTTCAAACACTGTAAGAGAAAGGCGGTGAAGATTCTCAGAAGCTGATCAAACTTCATGGGCTTCTGTTGGTAACAACCGTTGGCAGCACTATTCTCCCCAACGCGTTGGCAGGTCAGCCAAGGCCAAGTAGGGAGGAGGGAGGTGCCGAGATGCAGGAGGCCCAGAAGCAGCATTTGGGATCTCTGGCTCCAAGGGCACGTGTCCAGTCCTACCCTACCATGAAAGAGAGAAGGTGCTTGGTGTTCCTCAATAAACACACTTCTTTTTTTTTTTTTTTCTGCGGTACGCGGGCCTCTCACTGTTGTGGCCTCTCCCGTTCCGGAGCACAGGCTCCGGACGCGCAGGCTCAGCGGCCATGGCTCACGGGCCCAGCCGCTCCGCGACATGTGGGATCTTCCCAGACCGGGGCACGAACCCGTGTCCCCTGCATTGGCAGGCGGACTCTCAACCACTGCGCCACCAGGGAAGCCCAGTAAACACACTTCTTAATCTGAGCAAATAAAAAGCCAGTGGGAGCCCTCACTTGCTGTGAGGCGGCCATTTTCTCAAAGCAACTCTGGTGTGGAATGTGTATAATTAGGTACCTTTGGGGAGGTCGCCTTGCCATTGCTTCCTTCAGTCTATTAACATGGAGAAAGCACCTCTCACCACATCATCAGCTTAAACTGTTGGATCCCGTCTAATAGCCAAAGCATAGCTAATGGATCAAGTCCCTGGAGAGTTTGCAGGTGAAGGGGAAGCAGAGGCGGCTATGCAGGGAAAGACAGAGGTGTGAAAGCTGGGTTTTTGTTTTGTTTTTAGCTTAATGCAATCTAAAGGCAACTTTTAAGATATAAATCAAATTCTTGTTTTCATTAGCCATGATTCTTTTCCTTCTAATTGTCACCTTTCCAAGAAACCATCTTTAATCATCCCCCTACCTAATTCTTACCACTTTGGCCCACTTCTCAGAAATTTCAGAAATGATTCAAAGTCAATACAGTAGGGAAAAAAAATATTTATTTTCTAAAGTCATTACCTTGACAGGCAAAACAAAGCATTTTCTCAATTTCATTCAGAAATACATTAAAAAAAAATACATAGACCAATATGGCCTGCCCAAACATATATTTAACATGGTAAATATAAGGAATAAATTGTTTGAATATAAATATCTATAAAAAAATAAGTACATCAAAATGTAATCCAACCTCTTCCATGAGCCAGTTACATAAAGGAAAACAATTTGACAGCTTTAAATCACCACAATGTTTACCCTTCAGTGTCTCTCCTAAACAATCCTATACCATTGTGTTTCCAAAAATCAAGGTAAGGGAATCTGCTGATTCAATTGATCTTTCTTTTCTTATGGAACAGAGCTAGTAGATTACCCTGAAAATGTTATATCTACTGTTGACACATTGGACAGACTTCCATGAGGCTAGGGCTTAGTGTGGGGATTTTAGAGAGGGAAGAGTTTGGGGAAGCAATAATTAAAGGTGGGGAAATACTTTGCCAGAGTGCAATATAGGTGAGGTAGACTCATATGCATGAAACTCATCCTGATTTACAGTAGTAACAGTTTCTTTCAATTTTGCATTTTATGAATTTAAAAAAACAAAGTCTCTCTCTTTTTTTTTTTTTTAACTCGAGTGTTTGTCCTTAGAGTGTTTTCAATTTGTGCATTCCCTAGAAAAATCTTTGCAGGGACTTTGGAGTTTCTCCCTGAAATGTGCCAGGCGCCTGAGTGAGACACAAACACTCCTTTCGGAACCTCTTCGGGGACGGGGACGCCGCCCGCAAGTGGAATCTCCTCTCCTCCTCCCTCTAAGAAGGAGGTCACCCTAATTTGCAGGTCACTGCATCTCTCTGCCTTCTTTGCATAGCCCGCTGTCACCCCAAAGGAGGAGAGAAACGAAAGCAGTTCCCACTGATGGAGGCAAATGAAGACGGGCTGGGGGACTCCTTAACCTTTCCTGGAATGTTTGCACCCAGGGCGCTGGTCCTGTGCTAGTCTGGAACGAGAAGTGGTCTAAGCAGGGAGGATGCATTTGCTCTGATCCCAGCCACGTGGAGAGAGCGCAGAGTCAGGCCCAGGGCTCTTGGTGGATGAGAAGGCTTCAGACAGGCCCCAACAACCTGCCATCAGTGTGTTCGGTTGTAGGTCACTTTCTTATCTCTGTAGAGCTTGGCTTTCAGCTTGGCAACATGAAAAGACGTTTTGATGCTGTTACTGATGGCTTCCAACCTATTAAAACCAGACAAGAGAAAACGATGTTATTATTTTTTTTTCTACAAAAATCATTCCTAGGCAAAAGAGACATCTAAAATTAGAATCTGGTAAAAACAAATCTAAATCTGGATCCTGAACTTTCACCCCCAACCAAAACCACATGTTACCCTGCTAACCTCAAGTGAAAATAAACTACCTCTTATGCCTAGAATGGCAGTGGGTGGGGCGGTGAGCAGGGAGAATAAGGGTGATATGGTCACATCTAAAGGGAATTGGGTATTAAATACAATTTTAAAGTACAATTTTTAAGGTCAACTAGAGATCTTCTCTTTCCTTCTTTAGCCCTGTCCCAAGCACTATCCCAACCCCTGTGGGATCGTATGGAGAGACTCATTCGGCAGAGGTTTCAAATAGCCAGGAGTGTCTTCTTAAACACATAAGAAATTGAAGGGGGCTTCGTGGGAAAGAAATTCAAAGAGAGGAGACCTACAGGCAGGCCCAAAACAATATTCTACGGCAAGTAAAGAAAATTTGTTTTTGCAGGTTTCATGTTTTCTGTTTCTAGGAGAAAGAAAAAGGGAAGGACTGTAACATTGATTTAATAGTTGATGTAATGGAAGCTAATAGAAAAAAAAAAAGATTTCCAAATCAGTCCAGAAACGGTGATTTACGTAATCTTGCGATCTGAAGGCGCACTAGTGGCCTGAAGTTATAAATATGGAAACTTCAACAGCACATGGGAAGTGCTGAGGATGGCCCCGCATCAGCAGTAAACAACTCAGAAGTCATTCATGACTGCCAGGCCTGTGCTCGTAATACTTGGATCCTAGGACTTCTTGCCACTGGATTTCCGGGAAAAGTTGCCACTGACCATGATAGGGAAACGTAGAATATGGGGCGGATCTGAAAGCAGGATTCCTCCCTGCAGCTTGTGAATTCCAAAATGTTTAGGATTTGGAAGACTTATCACTCTAAAACTGCTCAGGGGGCTTCCCTGGTGGCGCAGTGGTTGAGAGTCTGCCTGCAGATGCAGGGGACACGGGTTCGTGCCCCGGTCCGGGAAGATCCCACATGCCGCGGAGCGGCTGGGCCCGTGAGCCATGGCCGCTGAGCCTGCGCGTCCAGAGCCTGTGCTCCGCAACGGGAGAGGCCACAACAGTGAGAGGCCCACGTAACAAAAAAAAAAAAAAAAAAAAACAAAAAAAAAAACTGCTCAGAGCAATCCTATGGTATTACTAATCCAGATCCCAGCTCATGATTAAAAAATGAGAAAGCTTTTGGGAATGACATTGGGTCTCCACCAAATGCATTTCCCTATTTAAAAAGTAAATAAACCTGAAAAAATGGCATGCTCTAACTCTTACCAACCCTGACTTTATTTTCCCTTTGGCCATTTGAATAACTGCTGTGTTTTGAAGAATTTGATTATATGTGACACTTTAATTAAAAAAAATAAAAAACTCTCCCTGAAAGGATTTTTAATTTCTCAGGGAAAGCTGTAAATATATTGACTCAGAGAGGCAAAAACTAGATGTGACCAAATGACAAAGGTGTCTCTAGATAGATTTTGTTTGGAAAATCTACCTTTAGGATGAGTGGTGTGTGTGCTAGAAATCACCAAAGTGTACAGAGGGCAGCAGCCTGCATTCAAGGCCTTCAAGACAACATTTGAGAGGGATTCCTTTGCTCTCTTCAATCTAGAGAACACAAAGATTCCCCTTTTCTTTGTTACTGTCCTCTGGGCCTTTCTCCCATCAAGGCAAGAATGACTAGGAGAGTAGACCATTCATAGATGACGGGGACCAGCTGCTCTTAGGAGCCTCTTACCGTCTTATTTTTCTTCCCTCCACCAGCTGCTGATGAAGACACTTCTCTCCAAGCTTGGAACAGTCTTTCCCTTTCTTTTGTTTATTCCAGCCTTTCTCCATGGTGTCTTGGTCCCTGTTAAAATACACATAGGGAGAACATTTCAGCAATAGGAACTTCAGTTGTTCTCAATGCCTCTGTTAATCTCTTTTAAACAAGAAGACAGCATCATAAGAGGAAGACGGTCAGGAAGGCATAAAACTGAAGGAAAACGAAGGTGTTTCTACTCACCTGAGTTCGTTTCCTGCTTGGCAGAAATTCCAGCACTTCTTATCTTTTTGGCTAGTACATTGGCATCTCTTCCTGTGGTCTGTTGCCTTTGTAGGAAAGAAATCCTTTAAGGATCGCTTGGTCCTAGAGGGGCTTCCGAGTCCATATGGAACAATGTGCCTATCATGGAGAGAGAGGAACAAAAGTTATGAGCATAACTGATCATCTCCAGAGGTTGCATTCTTTGGGGCAAGCTCCTAAGGAGCTCACACCACAGGATTTGGCAGCGAAACTCAGAAGAGTCAAATGTTGCTAACAGTCAGGATGGCATGCCAGTCAACGGCCTCAAGTGTGTGGACCCACCCAGGAGAAAATCAGTTTTTCTAAGTCAATGAAATTCCATGTCAACTCTCAACACAGCAGCCTTGTCTTTTGGCCGAAATTATGACATCTCTGCTTCGGTATCTGTTTCATATTATCTTCCTTTTTCTGACTCTCTACTTAGTTAACAGGTCTTGGGGGTGGGGGTGGGGGACTTCCATGCAAAACCATGACTCACAAGATTTCGAAAACCGATTTTCAATTCAAGTGATACATGATAATGCTAAAAGGGCCCCCTGAGGAGGCTGGGGGGGGGGACACACTACCGCGTGCACGGTTCACGCCAGGTTTGCACACCTCCTGTGATTTGGTGATTATCATACAACTGTAGAGGGACTCCTCATCAGAAGGCTCTCCAGTAATTTCCAGGGTGTCCATTGTGATTCTCGCCTAAAGAATAAAGTCCTCCCCTTGGAAGTATCACCTTACTAAGTATGAGGCTCGCTGTGGTTTTTGTTTGGTCTGATTTGACTTTGTTTGCATTTCAGTCACCCCTCACCATAACGGGACGCCGCAGGCACAATCAATGTATTTTTGTTTAGGATTCCTTCTGATGGGTGAACTACTTTTCAGGGGGAGATGGGGGAAACTGCTTTCTTCGCTCGGGAGGCAGAAGGGAACTCTAAGGACCGCGTTTCTATTGCTGTGTTGAAATAGGCTTTTCCAAAGCAGGGAGTCGGGACACCCAAGTTCTAGGTCTCGCTCTACCATAAATTCATCCTGGCAAGTGACTTCAACATTTCGGGTCTTAGTTTTCCAATAATTAAGATACAGACATTAGACTATAACTCTCTATAATCCTTTCTGCCTCTTCAGTCTATACCCTCCCATGAGAAGCACAGGTTGGACCAAGCCACATATGACCTCAGCGACGTTTTCCCTAAACCCAGGCAGATCCCAATGGAAAACATTCTCCCTGGAGGCCCAACACAAAGTTTCTCCCCCGAGACGTGTGGTGGCCTCCTGAGGGGCATTTTCCCCACTGGGGCACTTTCCTGGGGTCAGAAATGCTACCTTCAGAGTCCAAACCCAAAAGTAACGAGAGTAACTGGGCTCCAGTCTCCCGTGAAGCTGGAGGGGAGGAAGCCTAGAGTAACGATGCCCTCTAGAGACTCACTCTGGAGTGTTGACCCAAATGATGTCCAGGTGGCAGAAGTAGACGCATTCTTTATCCATCAGGGAAGAGCAGGAACAGCGCTTGGCCCGGCGGGGCCTCCAGGGCGCACTGGGAGAGGGCTTCTCCCCTCCGCTCTCGGCTCCTGTGCTGAGCTCGGCACCCAAGACCGCTGGGGAGACAAAGAGCAGGTCAGTGGGCAGCGTCTCCCCCAAGGCCCAAAGGCACACTGGTCACAGCGTGGATGCCACATCTAGCAGAGCAGATAAAAGCAGATGAAGCACCCAGCCGGCCTCCAGCAAGAAACACAGAGCAAAAAGGACTCTATTATTTTCCCTCCTTAACATGACTTCACCTTTATCGCCACTGGCTTATCCAGCTTCAGAGAGATTATACAAGTGCAGGGGAAACAACCACCTGAAAAGGGACTTACCAGCCCCTTGAAGCAGCCTTCAAGGAAATGCTTAGAAATACTGCCTGTTAGACATTTGGGTTGCCTTCTGCATGGAACTTAGCACAACCTACGGTGGCTTAAAATTGGCTGATGACCAAAACCTGAAACTAAGTAAATCATGACTCAGAGCCACTTCCTCATGCGGGACGACCTTCCATTTAGGGCAGTACCCACCACTTCACACCTTGTGTAAGGTCGGGAGTAGCCCAGATGAGACACACCTCTTGAACTTAGGTGGAGGTCCAGAGCTTCGGGGAGGTGATTGGAGAGAGAGAAGAGAAATCAGCTCTACAGTAAAACCACTGACCTAAGGGAAAACTGAGCAGCAGCTCCGGGGACCCAGGCAAGGTTCTGTGGGTTTTGAATTCTGAATCCCCGGAGCAGGATGGTGTGGGCGGGATCTGCCGTCTCCCGTTCCCCACGGCAGCATGCTTCCTCTTACTGACAAGTTAGCCACGCAGCTTATCTGCCTAATTTTGTACATTTCAAATGATCAGACACATTCCAGGATTTTCATTCCCTTGACATCCTTTCTCTTCAGTCAGGGTCATGAAAAGACAAAAAAGTGCGCTGACCCTAAAAGAGGGAAACGGGCAGATGCACGCATACTATCTAAATCCTTCAGCAGCCAAGATTTATCCTAGCTTCCCTCCCAAGACAGGTGAATAAAACTGGAAATAGAGCCCACACTGTTCCGAGTGCCAAAAACTTGCCAAAAGAAATCTAAAGTCAACAATGACAATTTTAAAGAAAACATCTGCTTCACCCTGAAACCGCCTGGGGGTGGTTTTCACCAGGTTGTTCTGCAGGTGACTTTACTGCTCATACATTGCTTGAATGACTTGAATAAAATTCCTTGGCTTCAAGCTGAAATGTTTAAATATTTCACACATTAACACACTATTAAAGCAGTATTTGAATAAGATATAAATTCCTATATGTCCTATGACCTGTATGAACACGTATATTGCAAACATACATTTAGCTAAATTACATCTCGCTTTAATTGAGTCATATTTTTAAAAGCCAAGGAAATACACTAGGCAATAATAATAATGTTATTTTAATGCTAGAGGAGCAATGGTCTTCAACAGAGGATTTTTTTTTCACTAGAAAATTTAAGCACCTTTGAGCAATAATTCCCCTACACTTGCTTTCTGAGCGGCAGTCATAAAAAGAAATGGGGGAAAACACAGAAGCAAGAAAAGCATTAAGGTGGAAAAGAAGACGGCAGCATTCAGGGATTTACAAGTCAACGTGCCTACCTGCTTCTGGAGCTCCTTGGAAAGCCACAAACAGCAGAGCGAAAATCATGGGGAAATAATCCATTCTGGAAAAAAAGGGATCAAAATCCTTCCCCACTGCGAACTAAACCCGAAGGTGGGGGGAAGGGGAACGCAGAAAAAAACAGCTTCAGTTCCTTCCGAGCGCTTCGGGTTCTTCGGATCTCAAAGTGATCCTTCAGCCCGAATGCTCTTTAATGGGGAGAAAAAAGAAGCGTCTGCCAGGAGAGAAGGCAGTGGGAGCGGTCCGAGGACGCACGCGGTGGCGGCCGTGGCGCACGGGGACCCGGGGACCCTGGCGGCGCTGGTCCCAGCGCAGAGGCAGAAGCGCGTCTGACCTGGACAGCTCTCGGCCGGCTTTTTATACTGAACCCCTATAGAGCGGGGGTAAACAGCTCCAATTTTATTCCAGCCCCAGACAATGTTATTGTGTCATTAGTCACCACCAGGCAACGTGCAGCCGGAGATAAGGCCGGGCTCTAAAGGAAATCACTGCTAACTTCAGAGGCAGACGCCCGCCGTCTGACAATTCGGGGCAGGGCTAAGAAAAAGAAAATACCCATTGGAGACCTTTGGTAAACCTGCCCGTGCAGCGCTGCCGTCTGCTTCCCCTTTGCAAGCTGCCAGCCCCGGAGTTCAAGCATCAGAAGAGGGACTCCAGAAAAGTCATACCATTGGTATGAAAAGTATGAGCTACAGTTTAAATAGATTGTATTGTTGTGTGCGGGGGAATTTTTTTTTAATTGTTGTTCGCTTCATTTGCCTTTTATGTCTCTCCGATTTCTCAGTGCTGATCAGTCCAGGGGACGCTCTCGCTCTTTACTTACGCCTCCCCCCGCCCCCGACTCGGGGTCAGATCATTTTGGCAGATAGATGGACGCACTTTGCTCTTTCTTCCAGCCCCCGCCCACCAAGGCTGTTCGGCTCAAGTTCTTTGCGTCCACAGTGGGAAAGATAGGAGAGGGGTTGGCAAGAAAAGGAAGTTTAAAAAAAAAAAAAAAGGGATCCTTTTAGGCACATACCCAGTCCTTTCAGGATTGCTGATTAGAAGCCCCCATCAGCTTTTCTTTTTGCGCCCACCCTCTTCCCGTCCCCGGATCCCCCCATTTGCCGGGGCACCAATCTAAAGAAATAGCGAGAGAGGAACGCCAGAGGGAGACGAAGAGCTACCGGGGCTGATGTTTGAGGAAAAAAACCACAGCCTTGGCTTCCAAATAACAGAAGGAAACGCAGCCACCTGAGGTGGGAGCCTAGAAAGGGAGGAATGACACCTGACGCAGAAAGCGCGGTTGCCCCTCGAAATATTCCATTTACTCCCTACATCGGGACAGCTTTTCTGGATCTTTGTTTTCCTTTGGCTTTTTCTTGTAAGTCGAAGGGGTGTTCTTGCAGAGGGTTAAGTATTGGGAAGGAGGAAATGCCTGCCCTGAATAAGGGAGCAGACGATACCTCGCCTTTAATAACGTGCTTATGTTTTCAAAGCAATTTCCTGTCTATGTAAGCACGAAATACGCCTTGAGGTCCTCACAGGGCAGTCACTGCGGAGGAAACAGCATGCTGCAATGTGTACAGCAGAACATGAATGCAAGACATCTGGCTTTTTCAATTAGCCTCATTTGTCAAGTGGGAAAGCTGGGGTCCCCAGAATCTCCCTGCTCCATCGAAGTTCTCGGTGTGCCTGAGTAAGGCCCATGGGATAAAGGTAGAGAATCTTCCCTGCACACGAAAAAGATGTGTCTACGTCTAGCTCCTAGGGACACCATCAAATAGATGCTGCTTCCATTTCCTCACCTTGTTTTACTCTAATCCACCCACCCACACCCACCCACACAAACACGCACACGCAGGGATTCAAATGCAGACTCATTTGCAGTTCTCAGGAGGATCCCACAGAACCATTTCCTCCTCCTCTCTGTTTATTCTTCACCCCTAGAATCAGAAGGACAGATTTTATCCCAACACCTAAGCCGTGGACCTGGGCACACTTGGTCTGCCTGGACATCCCTCAAAGTCACAGATGGGGGGACAGTAGCGGTAGCAGATCCGTAATGAGATCTGTCCCCTAAAGCAGCCACTGCAGCCAGAGTGGAGATGGGGGGAGGCAGGGACCCTCCCCCCCACATCCACACCCAGAGAGGCCTCCCCCGCGTCCCCAGGGGTCTGCTTGGGCCCTCGGCCCCTCCTCTATATGCTTGCCTCAGCCCAGCCCCAGGGGCCGGGGAGGGCACAGCTCTCCCTGGACTCAGTGGCAGCCAGCAGGGAGCCAGCTCTGCTGGCCTCAGCCCTGGCCAGTGCGTTCTGACTTCTTCCCATCCGCAGAACACAGGAGAGCAGAAGAGAGCTGATATCACATTCACAGGATCCAAGCTTCCCCCAGGGAGGGAAAGGTGGCCTGGGAAATATGTCTTGGCCGGGGTCCCACCCCCACGCCCCCAACTCTTTTTTTTTTTAACCTCCTGGAAACTTTAACAAAACACTGGCCACAGTCAGGACCAACCTGTCCTCAGCTCCTCCCTGGAAACTACCGCCCGGTCCCTCCCAGTCCCTCCAGGTCCAGCCTGGGCCACCCTCCGGCAGGTAGGGAAGCCCATCTCTTGACGCCACACCCACCTCGCTGAGGTTGCCCAGACAGGTGCCAGCAGCGCAAGCCTTCCCACAGCCCACCCGCCCTCCTCTCCTGTGAACTATTTGAATGACAAATAAATACAAAACGTGGGCAGCAGTGATCCGCCCCGACCCGTCACCCCGGGCCTTCTGCTCAAGTCAATGCGCAGGATTTCAGATCCGGGAGGGTCGCATTGTTCCAAGGCCCATCTTGCCCCCAACTCTTTGAATCGTGAGTTTCCAAGACGCCCCCTCACGTGGGTGTGCATGTGCGCGTTTCCATTTTTCTTTGTGTGTCTTGGGGCAATGGTGGTATCTGCCTTCCCTGTCTGTCCATCTCTCCACTTCCAGCTCTTGCAGCAGCCTCTTTTCTTCCTAGAGGAGGAAAGGGGGGGGCCTTTCTCTGCAGAGAAGGCAGCTATCCTACTGCCAGGCAGCTGCCCAACAAAACAGTTTGCCAAGAAGCAAGAGCGGGAGGGAGGAAGAACCCCAACAGACCAGTTTTACAAGTTAGATGCTGCCGCTGCTGCTCTGCCTGAAGCCTTGCTGGGGAGCGTGGAGGAGACGAGAAGGTTAAAGTTGCTGGACAAAGTAATAAAAGTGGAGAGCCCAGGCTTCCCTGGTGGCGCAGTGGTTGGGAGTCCGCCTGCCGATGCAGGGGACGCTGGTTCGTGCCCTGGTCCGGGAAGATCCCACATGCCGCGGAGCGGCTGGGCCCGTGAGCCATGGCCGCTGAGCCTGCGCGTCCGGAGCCTGTGCTCCGCAACGGGAGAGGCCACGGCGGTGAGAGGCACGCGTACAGCAAAAAAAAAAAAAGAAGTGGAGATCCCACCTCCATCACCAACCCCCAGCCCAGCCCTCCAGGACCTAGCAGGGGAAAGGCTCTCTGCAGGCACAGTCCGCCTCAGAGAGGAAAGGGAAGGGAAGAGAAGGGAGAGAAGAGGTAAAGAAGATGGCCTTTTTCCCCAATAGAACAGTCTTCTGTTGCTGTTCTTGCTTTTAATGTTACACTTGAATACTGGAAACTATTTGATAAAGTATTTTTTATGTGTTTCTTTCTGTATCATCTCTTGCTGTGTATTAATAGATAGCTATAAATAAAACACCCTGGGCCCCAAGTACAGATACTACACAGTAGCAAAGTGTGCTGTTTTTAGCACTCCTCAACTTTGCTGTTTCTCAACTTCTGCGTAAAACAATTTGCAACTTTGCCCAGCCAATAAATCTGGGGCGAGATGTGGCAATGAGCTCAGCAAAAAGAACAGCCGTTAGGTTGCTTGATGAGAGAGAGCACAAGGCATAAAGAGCTGGCTTAGTGTGGGGTCGGTGAAGCTGTCCAGGCCACTAGCTCGATCATATATTGTTGACTGTTTTACATTCCTACTTTGCATAGCACTGTTGTGGAAGACTGCGTAATACAGACATTACTCCATAACATATTACACACCTCCACGAGTCATGAACAAACACAGCTTCTCCCTGTGTCCAAAATCGAGTGGTATTTAGCACAGGAAACAGGGTGCTGCTCAGCAGAGATTCATCCCATGTATCTAAAAGCATAGAACTTAAGAGTTCGTCGATAGGTCAATGGATAAAGAAAATGTGGTATATATATGTACACCACATGGAATACTTCTCAGCCATAAACGAAAATGTGGATGGACCTAGAGGGTATCGTGCTAAGTGAAATAAGTCAAACAGAGAAAGAAAATACCATATGATTTCACTTATATGTGAAATCTAAAAAACCCGAAACAAACCAACAAAAATAACAAAACAAAAACAGACTTGTCGATGCAGAGTCCAAACTGGTAGTTGCCAGAGGGGAGAGGGTAGGGGGCTAAGTGAAATAGGTGAGGGAGATTAAGAGGTACACGCTTCCAGTTATGAAATAAATAAGTCATGGGGAGGTAATGTACAGCGTAGGGAATATAGGTAATAATAACTTTTGTGATAACTTTGTATGCTGACAGATTATCACTAGGCTCGTCATGATACTCATTTTGTAATGTATAAAATTATCAAATCACTATGTTGGATGCCTGAAGCTAATAGAATATTGTAAGTCAATTACACTTCAATAAAAAAGAAAAAAATATGTAACATATGCAACTTTGCTTCCCCAACACTTTCATCCATAAGACGATGACAGATAGCAGCTGTTTAGCTTAAAAGAATATGTCCAATTCTCTAACCTAGCGTTTCCCAAACCTCAGTCATTCATAAACCTCTCTCACAACTTTTGCCATATTGGTGTGCCACCCATATATTTTTACTGAATATTTTTCTTTCAACTGACTTACTTCTTTTACTTGAATAGTTTTAAGGAAACTTTCTATTGCTTCTATCCTAAGCAGTTATATATATGGAATCATGGTCTGTATGGTTAAATAATATACATTTTATATGGTTAAATAAGGCATCTGAAATCATGGTTTAATACATGTTAGAATAAACGTCATTATTGTGTGCTCCTTAAGCTATTAGAAATAAAAAGTGTTCTGCCATGTACTGTCACCTGATATACCAACACCAGCACGCTTACCACTCCTGGGGAACACCATTCCTTCCAATCTGATGTCTTATGTCTTATTATGTTAAGAATTAAGCCCTGGTTTAATTCCACTCTCTGACCTCTACTTTCAGATAATCTCCAAATATTCTACATCAGAACTCTCATATGGGGCTTCCCTGGTGGCGCAGTGGTTGAGAGTCCGCCTGCCGATCCAGGGGACACGGGTTCGTGCCCCGGTCCGGGAGGATCCCACATGCCGCGGAGCGGCTGGGCCCGTGAGCCATGGCCGCTGAGCCTGCGCATCCGGAGCCTGTGCTCCGCAACGGGAGAGACCACAACAGTGAGAAGCCTGTGTACCGCAAAAAAAAAAAAAAAAAAAAAAAAACCTCTCATATGGATGCATTCCAAAGAAACAGAAGTTCTGGCATCCAGAATCCAGAAAAACAAGGAGTTCACATCCAAAAAGTTCCTAGTTCGTACT